TGTTTATCTGGGAGCTGTCAAATGTTACAGTTTCTGCATAAATGGTGTAAACACGCACCTAACGTTCTTTTCTTATGTAAACTATGTGGCGAACTTGTAATTAAAAGTAAGCAGTAATGATACATAGTAAAATATTTTTTTTTCTTTCGGAAATTGAAAGTGTAAGCTGCAATTACATCATTTACATGCATGCCTGACCACTGAGTAGAGTAGTAACAGTAATAGTAGTAGTAGCAGCAGCAGCATCAGAAGCAATAGCAGCTGCAGCAGTAGTTGCTTTTGTTGTTGCTGTTGGTGTAGCAGTAGTAGCAGCAGCAGCAGCAGCAAAAGTAAGGAAACAGGATACAGAGATTTAACAGAATATGAAAAGAGGAAAAGAGATGGAGGAGGAGGAAGAGGGGAGAAGGATGAGAAGGAGGAGGAAGAAGAAGAAGAAGAAGAAGGAGAAGAAGAAGAAGAAGAAGAAGAAGAAGAAGAAGAAGAAGAAGAAGAAGAAGAAGAAGAAGAAGAAGAAGAAGAAGAAGAAGAAGAAGAAGAAGAAGAAGAAGAAGAAGAAAAAGAAGAAGAAGAAGAAGAATGAGGAGGATGAGAATGAAGATGAAGATAGAGGAAAGGATGAGAAAGAGGATTAGGAACAAGGAGAAGAGTCAACGCAAATATCTTTTTGTCAGATAAAAGAATTGAATTCTGGCGACATATGTACCACATTAGAACAGAATGCGCTATCACAAAAATAGTGTATTAAACTACATTTATACAGTTTGTAACATTCATCTCTTCAATGCAACATTAATGCCTGCTATTTACTTATTTATATAACAGCAAAAAAATAACATGCACAGCTTTTCAAAGAAAACCCTTGTTTGAAAACCTGGCCTACGTCATTCCTCACACAAGAGCATGCAAGAGTCAATACAGAAATGCCCCATTCCAGAATTAGATTTATTGTTCTAAAACCGTTCGCAATTATATGCCAGTTTGGATATATCTGCGTGTGCATGTGACCCGTTCAAAGAAGCGTTCAAAAATGGCTTATAAAACAGAGACAGCGAGTGTGGATGCAGCGACAGAATAACATTTTTTATGTAGAAATTGTGCCAGAAACAAATGCTGATTCCATTTTGAAATGTCTCCTGCGACATGAGGAAATTTTTCATTAAATGTGGATGTTTTTCGTTGCTAAGAAATCTCGGGCGTTAACTTTTCTTGTATTCTTCATTTAGCGCCATTTTTCGGGACGACAGAAGACTAGCGGATGTGAGAATGATTGAAATCGCCACAAATGCTAAAATTATCTGGCAATATTGCTGTGGATATGCCATTCACCATCAAAGAGGTGATGATGACGATGATAATACAGGGCTGAACTTAGACGTGATGAGGCCCTCAGTTATATAAAGCCCTGAGGCACCTACCGTTTTAAATTACACCAGCTAATAATCGCAGAAAAATATAAAAAATATTATAAAAGGTGGAAGTTGACCCATTTCAAGCTGATTACTGTATTTAGTTTGAAAAAGCTATTTAAAAAAAAATAGAACAAATAAAAGACTGAACTGATACACCCAACAAAAATAATAATAAAATACAAACATTCCTGGGAGATAAAAAAAAATAAATAATGAAAATTGCATTTGCGAAAGAAACTGGATTTTACAAAGGCTCTTACAGATTGTAGGCTTTAAGGTTAGTTTGCGTATGCCTATATCCAGCAGTAGGGTGATTTCTTTCTTTCTTTCTTTCTTTCTTTCTTTCTTTCTTTCTTTCTTTCTTTCTTTCTTTCTTTCTTTCTTTCTTTCTTTCTTTCTTTCTTTCTTTCTTTCTTTCTTTCTTTCTTTCTTTCTTTCTTTCTTTCTTTCTTTCTTTCTTTCTTTCTTTCTTTCTTTCTTTCTTTCTTTCTTTCTTTCTTTCTTTCTTTCTTTCTTTCTTTCTTTCTTTCTTTCTTTCTTTCTTTCTTTCTTTCTTTCTTTCTTTCTTTCTTTCTTTCTTTCTTTCTTTCTTTCTTTCTTTCTTTCTTTCTTTCTTTCTTTCTTTCTTTCTTTCTTTCTTTCTTTCTTTCTTTCTTTCTTTCTTTCTTTCTTTCTTTCTTTCTTTCTTTTCCTTTTCTCCATTTAGTCTTCCCTTTCCTTCTAATTGTCATTCTTTCTCTCTTCTTTCTTTATGTCCTCTTATAACCCTCTCTTTACTCCTGTCCTCCTTCATTTATCATTTTTTTAAAATAGCTAATATCTAATTTTACTTTGATAATGTTCTGTCTTTCATCTCTTTCTTTCCTGTATCATTTTTTAACCCTATAATGTAAGGAAAAAAAAATGATCTTCTTTGAGTCCCTCTGTGTTGTCATTATGTTGCAGCCTCCCCAAGAATCGATCATTTATCTCTTAGACAATCCAATTCTGTGTTCTTCTTTGTCAGAATCCACTTTTTATTTTTATTTTTTTAGTTTTTGAAAATGAATTAAATATGTTTTCTTATCGTTTGGTGGTGAACTTGTCAGTTCTCCGCTCGTCTTCGAGGCTGACCATGTATGTCCTCATGCCAGTTAGACAGGCGGGCAGGCAGACAGGCAGAATAACGTATAGATTGTCCGACAACCAGACACACATCCAACAACCAGACACACATATGTACAGACAGACAGACAGACAGACAGACAGACAGACAGACAGACAGACAGACAGACAGACAGACAGACAGACAGACAGACAGACAGACAGACAGACAGACAGACAGACAGACAGACAGACAGACAGACAGACAGACAGACAGACAGACAGACAGACAGACAGACAGACAGACAGACAGACAGACAGACAGACAGACAGACAGACAGACAGACAGACAGACAGACAGACAGACAGACAGACAGACAGACAGACAGACAGACAGACAGACAGACAGACAGACAGACAGATAGATAGATAGATAGATAGATAGATAGATAGATAGATAGATAGATAGATAGATAGATAGATAGATAGATAGATAGATAGATAGATAGATAGATAGATAGATAGATAGATTAGATAGATTAGATTAGATAGATAGACAGGCAGACAAACACCCAGTGGAGTATATGGACAGAAAGACATTCAAACAGACGTCAGACTAGACAGACATATATACATGCATTCATCAGACTAGACAGATAGACACCACTATTTCCACCCTCTGCTCATGTGAAAACGCCTGACACCTCCACTGTCAACTACCAACTTGACACGCCGCCCCTTTGCGACCTTGCATCCGTTAACACTGCATCACTATTCTCCCCTGGGCGCCCGACCAACCCGTGCTGTATTTCCACACATACCACTTGAATTCCATTTTTTCACGTTCTTTCCAGTAAATACATTTAGTAGAGGACAGTTCACGTTAGGAATGCTGCTATTCATCAACATTTTAGGAATGCTACTATGAAGGAACACTTTTGGAATACAATTATACAACAACAACACTTTAGGAATGCTTACTGTACGAAAACACTTTAGGAATATTATAATACAACACTTAAGAAATGCTACTATACTAAAACAACACATTGGGACTGCTACTATACACTAAAAACCCTTTAGGAATACTCTTATACAACAAGAACATTTTAGGAATACTACAGTACAACAACAACATTTTATAGGAATACTGCTTTACAGCAGCAACACGTTAGGAATTCTATTATACAATAATACTTTATAACAACAACACTTTAGGAATACTACTATACAGCAACAACACTTCAGGAATACTACTATGAAACAACAACACTTTAAGAATACTACTATACAACAGCAAAACTTAAAAAAAAAAAGTTAAGCGTGTCAGCAAAGTAATAAAACAGATAACAATTATGTCAAACATAAAATAAACAATAGGAATGTTAACAGTAAAATTAAAATAAAATAGTTAAATGTGTCAGGAAAGTAATAAAACATATAACAGTGATGTCAAACATAAAATACGGAATAAGAACTCTTGATGTCAAAAGTAGAAAATAAAATTTGGAGGCGGAGACACGAAGGACATTTAAATTAACACACACAAAAAATGACAAACAAACAAAAACAAAACAACAACACCAAATTAGAATGTTGAAAGGAAGAAAAAAAAAAGTTAGGGCAGAAAAGAAAAAAAATCCTAAATTAAATGAACAAGTTAAACAACAGAAAGAGATAAAATGCAACAAACTGACAGACAGAATACAAAAAAAGAAAAATGTTAGAAATTTTTCTGCGTAAACTGAGAAGAAACAGCAGCCACTAAAGCACCTATTTTAAAAGCCATGCAGAACTCTTCATTTAAAAAAAAAATCACGAATAAAATAACAAAGGAAATAAATCAACAATTTAGTTTGATATTTTATTGATCCTCACAGGGTTGTTTCCAACACTGTTGAACAGGAATATTTTACTGAACCGGCAGTACACAATTTTATGTATTACTATTGTAAACTAATTGGGTTCTACCAAATTTCATGAATACTACAGTGTCATAACTATTCTCAAATAGACCTTTGCTAAACTTTATGCTGAAAGATGAATGTTGCATAGTTTGTATTGTTGAAAAGCGAAATGTTGTAACTAGATGAACTGATTCAATTTGATTGATATTCCCACAGTAGTTATGGACTAATGTGTTGTTTTTGGTATTAAAATGGACCAATTTACAGGTCACGTAGTGATAATAAAATAAGAACAACTGAGATCAGTTCTAGTTATTATTTCAATAATTTCAGGTTATGAACAGAATTTATGGCGTTGACCACTTGACTGAGTTCCTTGGAAGTGGTGCTGAAAACTGACTGAACATTTTTTTTTAAAATAATACTGAGAGTTCAATAAAAGGAAAGAATGAACTCACATACAAGTAAAGATTTTTTTTTTTAGGGTTGACTTTTCTAATCGTATTTCTTGTTTGATGACTTCATTCTTGATTCCTGAAAGTTCTAGAGGTTTGTGGTTTTTTGGTATTGTTTCCGGCAATATAGATCTGGGAGCTTTGCTTTACTTTGCTGCTGTAGGAACTTCAGTGGGCTGCTCTGTAACAGGGCTAGCAATTTCAGTGGGCTGCTCTGTAACAGGGCTAGCAATTTCAGTGGGCTGCTCTGTAGTGACGCTTTCACTTTCAGATGGCGAGACTGTAGAAGCCTCTACGGTTGAATTGACTGCTGGTAATTCACTGACGCTCTGGTGATGGTTGTAATGGGGAAAGTTGTACTGCTGTTGTGGGAATTGTGGAGGCTGGAATCTCGCTGGAGGTTGGAACCTTGGTGTAGGGCGCCTGTTGGGCAACTAGAGATGCAAAATGTGCAGAGGTCAAATAGAAGTACATGAAAGACACAATGGTTTAAATAAATGAGGTAAACAAAAATTCTACTATCATGACCTACCTAGTTTGAAAAATATCAATACTTCATGTGCTACTGGCCAAGTCGAAGTAAGGCCGCAGTGGCTACCTCATATACAGCGTGAAACTGGTGGCCTCAATGACAGCACGGACATAATGCATGGTCAAGCACTGAGGCGAATTGACTCATAAACATCATCCTGTCCCGATAGCCGAGGTACACATTTTGGCCATTTCATGGTGGCTTGGAGAGAACGCAGATGGATGGACAGCTTACGGAAAAAGAGACAGAAGCCGAGGTCGACCTCCTGGAAGATAGATACAAACCTTGAAGATGCACCGACTATGAGAGCACACATCACTGAAGAACTGGCTAGAGGAAAAGAGACTTTCAGGCGTGTCGCAACCAGAGCAAAGTTCTGTAAAGGAGCTGCTGATTGACAAGTCAGTGGCAAGTGACATACTTAAGAAACTGAGCAAGAGGAAGACAAAGACTCAAATACAAGGACTACATGGGTAAGAACATGAACAGAAACATAGAATTGCTCGGTGAATTCTAGTGATCTGAGTGATCACAATTCATGACCATCTACCTGTGTGGATCGGTGGGGCTTATGACAATGATTCTTGTACACTCGCTTGTGATATCATCTTTCACCAGTTCTAGTATATGGCTGTGAACTTGGAATGTGAAGAACAAATTAAGAATAACTTGGAGGCCGAGGAAATGTGGTTTCTGGCATGCAAGCTGCGGATACCACGAACAGCCAGAATAACCAAAAACGACTGCATGGAAATGGCTGATGAAATAAGAAAACTATATACAACTCTAAAAAAGAGATAGAACACAGGGCTCTTCGGTAATGTGATGAGATGAGAGGCAGAGGCAGACGAAGAGAAACGATGCTTGACGGCTTGAACCAATGGCATCGTGGAACATCACCAGTGATATTGATTCAAAATAACAAGGACCGAGATCTGTTGAGAGACATGAGCGCTACGCTGCTGAGCAGGCCAAGTGATGATGATGATGATAACAGCGACGATGACGATGATGATGATGATGATGATACACACTGGATCGTCGTCAGTGCAACAGTTCGTTCCCTATGCTAAAGTTCTTCTGTCTGATCACCGGGAAAAAAAGGAAACATCTAATGTATTTTCAAGCCATTGGGGCTTCGGCATTTGATCGACTGATCGATCTGTTTTTGTCCCCTCTCAGCTGCTACCTAAAGGTTACTATACCATCCTGAGATAACCAGTTCTCATTCTGGACGGCGAATCAACAGGGTAGATCCCAGATACCCCATTTAGCAGGCAAAGAAAGTTATAATTAGAGCACCCTAACTACTATATAGCCTCCGTATAACCTGCAGTCCTAAGCCAGTAAGGACACGACCATTTGATGCAACACCAACAACTGTATAGACCAGGGCTATTCAACTAAGTTTTCTTAGGGGCTGGGGGAGGGGGAGCTGCGTGGTCTCGAGGCATAATGTTCGCCTCGAGAGCTAGAGGTCCCGAGTTCAGGACTCGGCGAAGGCTGGCATTTTTTCAAGTGGACTTCTAATAATTTTACCTGGTCTCTGTGTAGTGAGATCGGACGCCCGTGTGTATTGTGGCGCACGTTTAAAAAAATCCCCTGGCAGTTGGAAAACGAAAAGAGTAGCCTTAGGGCGCTGCCAGGGCAAAATTTAGAATTGAAAATTTACCAAAAATATTTCAGGATCATCGCCGGTGCTTCGGAGCCCGTGCACTGCGCTGAGCAACTTCGGAATCAGACTTGAGTTAGAAGTAGAACGGAGCACTTATGGGTTACTACTCTTGCGCCACGATGTTTATCAGTTGTTCAAACTTCAAACTTATCAGTGGACACGCTTCTTGTAAATGGGGATCGTCACAGACCAGAGAACCTATCTCCAGCATAGAATGGTCATTAATGCAGAACTGGAAATGATCCATGGGTAACTTGCTAGGGCTCTGAGGGACGAATCTGGTCTGCGGGCCGACAGTTGAATATCCGTGATAAAGGCCAGCCACCCATCGATGGGTCGTGCGGTTAATATCCCGCCGGCCGCTTTTGCAGCCCAGGATACTTTCCGATACCCATGCTAGGCTAGATCGACCTAAGCAAAGGTCGATGGCAAAAAAAAAAAAAAAAAATACAATGCGTTTTGACCGGCAGATAAACGCATAGCGACTGCGCCACTAGGGCTCTCATTGAGCAATTACCAGGCAACAAATGTGCAAGGGAGTTTAAATACTCACCAGACGTCTTGGAATGTAGGCCTGGGCGCACACCAGGCCACAGACGTACATGATTCATAATTTTAGAATGGATAACATAGCACACAGGGCATACCCACAGATGCTCCGTCTTCCACAGCAGAAGTCTTTTGTGTAGACGATATACACAAAACACTGAATACTTACCGGACGTCTGGGTCTATAGGCCTCTGCGCACACCAGAGCACACAAGAGCACTGCGAGAAACGTGCAGGTAGACATTGCTAGTTCTAGATAAGCCGATGTAGATCTTGGCAATGAAAGTCTTGTAAGAGATTTCCTCAGTAGTGGGTTCGAACCTCAGCAGTCAGACAGCTATAACCCACGACTACTCCAGGTTTTATATCCTGAGGTGAAACTAGATCTACGTAGAATAACCACGACAAAGGTAATCTGACTCCTAGGTCAGCACACAAAGTGTGGAGTACTTGCAGGTGCACCAGCAGACGGATTTACTCCCTTTACCTGCACAAGGTTCGTATTTGCCTAATCCACAACTTAAGCCTTTTTGTAAAATAATACGTGAGGCAGATGGCCAAACAGTTCCCTGCAACTCCTTTTTATACACATATGGAGCATGGGCTGTCAACCAGCTATTACCAAGTAAAGTAAAGGATTTCTCACACACCAATCGTGCGTCGAGCGTATACAGCTGGCCCCATGTTTAAAAGACCAATGGATACTTGATAAGTCTTGTGGTCAACACCACATCTGCCACCTTTACCTCCCATGAGAGATCAATTTTAGACTTCTACGTGGGAGGTAATCTTAATGTCACAAACAGCCATAGTTGCTGATACTAACAAAAGGTCTTCGGAAGAAAAAGGCAAGAAAGAGGAAAATCGTAGATCGGTCAGACCAATGCACTCACAACGGCGACCAGGTCGCCAATGGGCTCGCCGATAGACGACTTTGTCGCTGCTCGGGACAATATTTGAGTCTGTCTCTGTTGATCCGATCAACATTGCAGTGAGTCCTTTTCAAGGCTTTTGGTGGCGTGCAATGCTAAACCAATTTATAGTCACAATTATAACCTAAAGCTCCCCCTTTGGGGATGCTGGTTGAACGTGACAATTTTCTGTTTTAGCAAAGCACCTACCCACCTACAGGCCGAGGATATTATTCCGCAGTGTATTCACTCGAGGACAAAAAACCTGGTGAGTAATGAGTACAAGTGCTAACGTATTTCTGGTCATCTTTTTCTGTTTGCATCGGACTAGACAGAAAATGCATACAATCCATAAAACAAAGTCAGGCCGCTGTAAAGGCAGAAATACAGGCCTTGATTTTCAAGAATGTGTCATTTACACAGATGGGCCTGTGGTTTGCCTTGTAAGAAACTCGTGAGCTGTTTGACTGACGTGATGTAGGGCATTTTGCTAAAAATGTATCAGCTGATCGCGCGATCAGTTGTCCTCTCTGGACTGCTACTTAAAGATTTATCACACCACCTTGATAGTGAAATTTCCATCTTGATGGCAGACTAGCAAGTCAAATGACCGATACTCGTTCGTCCTCCAATGAAGTTTCATATATATATATATATATATATATATATATATATATATATATATATATATATATATATATATATATATATATATACATACATATCCCACACCATATTGATGATGATGATTTAGAGTAAAATTCAGTGCACTAGAAACACATCCAAGATCTCGGTGCTATCTCATCACAACGCAAGAGAAATTACGAGTTCCAAGCTGGCTGACTCCTGATAAAGACGAGATTTTCGACACCACTTCAGGGGACATTTGGCAGGGGCAGACAAAAGGAGTTCCTTCGCATGTAATGCACAGAGTAATGTCCCTTGTTCAGTTAAACTTGACAGAGATCACAATTTGTTTTCTGCGCATCGATTTTTGGGGCCACACAACTTCCGTCCTTTGAAAGCGTCATGGCTGCCAAGTTGATTCTTACTAAGGTTGTTTAAGATTGTTGTAAGTGTCTGTCTATTAGTCTGTCGATCTGCTCGTCCGTCCGTCGATCCATCATTCTATTCATCAACCTACCTGTCTTTTTATATATCTTGTTAATCCATCTCTCCATCCATCCAACCAACCATTCTTCCATTCATCCACCCATATGTCTTTTGATTTTATTTATCCATCCACCTATCCATCATCCACCCACCCATCCATCCTTCCATCCATCCATCCGTCCACCCATCTTTCCATTCCCCTGTCTTTCTATTCACCTAGACGTCCATCGGTGAGTTTATCTTTCTACTCACTAGCCAGTCAGTCTGTTTATCCATCCTTCATTTCACCAGTCCGTCTGTATGTCCGTCTGCCTATCTCGTTTCTCTAAGAAAAGTTCAGAACTATAAATCAATCAACTTCTACTCATGAGTACTAATGTGACTAGTGTGTTGACCAGAAATTTGACCATTAGTGACCCGACACTCCAATCTGATGACTGCTATCTAAATGTATGAGGCCCCGAGTTTTTTGCATGAGGTCATGACTCGCTTGCATGAGGACCCAAGTCGCTTGTATGAGGCCTCGAGTCGTTTGCATGAGACCCGGGCCACTTGTTTGAAGCCCCGGGTCACTTGCTTAAGACCCCCAGTCATTTGCATAAACCCCCCAGTCGCTTGCATGAGGTACCAAGTCGCTTGCATGACGTACCAAGTCGCTTGCAGGAGGTACCAAGTCGCTTGCATCACGCCCCGAGTCGCTTGCATGAGGCCCCAAGTCGCTGTAATCTCACATCCGATGACAAACATCGACCCCACAGATGCAATGGATCCTTTGGTCCCGAACAACAAAAAATACCGTGGTAGCGAAGCGACTAGACGCTCGCCCGCCTCTCCTAAAGTTGTGGGTTACGATCCACGTCAAATCGGATTCTCCCCTCTTAAAAAATGACATGAATTTCAGGTCGACCTAGTTTTAAATCAGTGTCATGAAAAGTATATTCGGCCTATATGATACTGACCACTTCACTCATCGAGTACTAATTTGACTATGAGGAATATGTCAGAGCCTCAGTTGACCAGACAGACACGGAAATTTCTCTGGGTGATACCTCCGGGTGGTAGAGTTCGTACAATAGTCTGGAGCAGAGCTGACATCATCTTGCAGACGAAGCTCAAAGTGTACGAAGCTGTCGTCCTGCCTGTACTACTCTATGCAAGTGAAACATGGACCGTTGACCAGCTCCATGCTGAGAAGCTGAATCATTTCCACACAGTCTGCCTCAGAAAGTTGCTGAACATAAAATGTTAAGACAGGATCCCAGACACTGAAGTCTTTGACAGAGCTGGATTGCCCAGTATTCACTGGATTCTAAAACAATCACAAATTTGCTGGGCAGGGCATATAGTCCGCATGCCTGACCACCGACTGCTAAGGATAATTTTCTATAATGACGCTATCTTGGCGCTCCTCTCTTTATCGAGGAGCTGTGGCCCATAAAGCTGCTAGAACTGCTCAGCAATTCAGAAAAAATAAGCCAGGAAAAACCATGAAGCAAATCACCAGAGAGACGCGGCCTCAATTCCCTGTCCCCATTGCTCAAGAACTTTCAGTGCTAGAATTGACCGTATCAGCAACCTGCGCACTTACAAAACCTGATCCAGTTACCAATGGATAAAAAGTACTGATCATCATCATCTGTGATAGACGAACAACACCTCAGTTAAGTGATTCTGTGCACTCTTGTTAGTAATTGCAACTCTTTCTATTCATGTTATGTACTGATGAAAGCTTTCTAGCCGCAACATTCCATTGAACTGTGTAATCCCGATTCCAATTTGATAAAAACAAATTCCAGACTTGATCCTCTTTCAATCGCCCGAGGGCCAGCTAGGAAGGTTCATTGGCTATCTCATTTGTTGTCATTTTATTTGTAGTTTGAAAGCACCCCTGATATTCCTGTTCCTTGTCTTCCTTAGTTTGAAGTCCGGGGTGGTATTTGGGGATTCCGGGTCCTGGTCTGGTCCGGCTCTCTTTAACTCTTATCTCTGTGGGGCTTTGCTGACTGTTGCTGGTGCTTGGTTTAACCCGTGCTGGTCGCTGCGCCGGTGCCCTATTGCCAGGCTGGGTTACCATAGGCCGTGGGAAAAAGCCAAACAAACACCAGGAACCACGTCTCCATTCACTGTTTCTTTTCAGGACTTTGTGTGATTGTGTGAAGATGACTAGTTATACTTTTCCTTTGATATCTCCTTCATGATATAAAAATATAAGTTTAGCATCATATACCCAATTTCACTGGCGTGATAGGAGCCCTTAATTCACTCTGTTGGCCCCTAAACTCCCGGCATGTCTGCCCGACTATCCAACGGATGTTACGCCGGTAATTCAGATAGAACAGGGGACCGCCCGGCTTGAGTTTTCATATGGCTCTTGCCGTTTGGGTTTTCCCCGTGAGTTTAGTTTGTAACCGACCCAGCCATTCTGACCAGACCTAGTGCAGCAGGTCACATTGATCTGAGCCAACAACAGGAAAAAGATCTTAGTTTTATTTTAATATTTGAAAGAAATTCAACCCCTCCTCCCCCACCCCCGTCATCCCATGTAGTTTAGGGGTTATCGCTCGTGGCTGTTGGGAAGGTAGTGAAACCGCATTAAAACTAAACTGGGATTGAAAATGTAGGGGCACTGGAAAAGAACAACGTAACTGTCAAATGTAATTTGTTGGGTCTCAGTTCGACTCATTATTATTATTATTATTATTATTTTTATTCTCCCTGTTTTTCGTCTCCTCCTCCTTATCCTACGCCTTCTTCTCCTCCGCCTCCTTCTCATCCCTCTTCTTCTTTTTCTTCTTCTTCTTCTTCTTCTTCTTCTTCTTCTTCTTCTTCTTCTTCTTCTTCTTCTTCTTCTTCTTCTTCTTCTTCTTCTTCTTCTTCTTCTTCTTCTTCTTCTTCTTCTTCTTCTTCTTCTTCTTCTTCTTCTTCTTCTTCTTCTTCTTCTTCTTCTTCTTCTTCTTCTTCTTCTTCTTCTTCTTCTTCTTCTTCTTCGCAATCGGTTTCAGTAAGTTAGATTATCAGCTGTGTTGCCTCCATGAACCGGTACGTCAGCAGTAAATCTCCAAGGGTTACCCCACGTGTGTCAAGGATGCCCCTTCCCTCTGTGTTTATAGCAGGCTGTGCTGAAAGGGGCATTTCTGCAGTATGTGCTCATGTGTTTGCTGTGCAGTTTGGCGGGGACACTGGATGGACTGTGCAGGTTTTATTCTCATTTCTCAAAAAA